TGCGCACGAACTTAATTTTAGAGATTACTAATTCAACTAAAATATTGATGGTTTTGTCGATGTATTATTAACATCTATATTTTAATTTTCAACATCGATGTTTGGCTATTTGGATGTTTTGTTGTGGATGTTGCATCACTACTATCTGCGCCGGCAGCCAGAAAACTAGTGATGGCAAATTTTAGAGAAACATTAATACATCAACAAACTTCAATCCATCAATACATGAAAACTTCGATAAAAACATCGATGTTTTAAATATGATGAAACATTTTGAAATAAAATGTCTTGGGACTAATGTAATACAAAACACGTCAATATTAGTTTAAAGTATACCTATAAAGTATATAATATTAGATAAAAGTATACATAAAACATCGGAAGCAAAACATCGATGATTCGGCTCGAAAAATTGATGTTTTAAAAACATCCATGTTTTATTAGGAAGTTTGTGCCACCTCAAACGTAAAGCACTATCGATCTTGTGCAGATGCACTAAAAAGTGACGCGAAACTTAAACTGCGCATGCGCAGAAGATCGAGTCGAGGTGGCCCAGACTGGAACTCCCTATCGCCATACCAACGGCCGTTCGCAGCGCGTTCGTCCCGCAAACGAAAACGCGCGTGGCGACGGAGGACGGCGCTGCGACGGCGGCCGCGTGGAGCGCTTGCGACGCTCCCCGCCGCGCCGCGCGGCGTCGCCGCCAGATGCCGCGCGCAACCCGCTCCAGCGCCTCCAGCGGACCCCACGCCAAGCGATCGCTCAAACGCCCGACCCGAAAGGCCAAGGCAGGGCTTGACGAGCCGGCGCCGCGCCGCTTGTAAAACGGTCACCGTCAGACGCTGCGCACACAACGGACAGAAGAGGAGTGGTCCCTTTGTCATAGCCCTACAGTACAAAACATTTTACTTCCGTAAATATGTTCAATCCCTGATTTTCCTCGTTCATGCAATGCGTGATTGTTATTGAGCATTTGAGGAAGAGGCTCTCCGAGCTGCGTATTAGGCAACTCATTAACGGTACTATAACAGAGTTATTTACGCACCATGGGCGTTATAAGGGTTCTAATGATCGAGCGGCGACGAAAATCCAGAGGGCCTTTGGGTCTTTTGTCACTCGTCATCATTAGAACCAGTTAACGCGCCTGGTAGATATACGAGTTTATTTTTGCCTAATTTTAATTATTCTCTATCTTATTTACTAATTAATTAGTTGTTAAGTTGATTGGAATTGGCATTTCATATTTCCTTCCCATAATTCCCTCCGTAAGAGAACGTGTAGAAACATTCAACAACTTTCATTTATCTCTCGTCACCACGATTTTCGCAATGCAGGTAAGTTATGCAGTTAGTATCGAGCTCGGAATCGAATGTAATATCGTGCAATAACGTATCAGTAAAAAATAAAATCATTTTATTCATTAATTTCATCATTAAAGTTATAGTGACATTCATCTTTATGTTTCACTTATTTATTTACGAGGAAAATACAACACGTAAATTTAAAAAATGGAGAATGGGAAAGCGTCCCAGAAATGTAGTTACGCCCTCTTGTGACTCTTCCTACGTTGTTGATTCATTGTGCGAACAAAGAAGCAGGTAGCAGCCGAGGGAGACTGGCAAACGGCGCCGGTAGTTGTGAATGTACTTTGCTCTGCGATGTTTCGCGTCGAACAGCGGGTAGAAAACAGCTTGTGAAACACCCTTAAAACCTTTCTAATGGCTCGAAAATAGTATTAAGATATTTGCAGTATGTTAACAGCTGAAAAATACACATTTTATAATCCTTTTACAATAACATACTTTTATTCTTAATTTTATCACTTTTTTATTTACTTATTTAAAGTCACTTTTCAACTACTTAGGTAATATGGCGACCACTGTAAGTAACATTGGGAGTAAGTAACGGTTACGATACACGGATACACACGGACATTCATGCGCCGTGCAGAATTCGAACCCGCGACCCTTCAGGAAAGAGGCAGCTACAGCTCCTCATCCTTTGCGACCTCGGCTATCCAGGCCGACAACGTTGTCACTTTATTATTTAATTATTACTTTCCTTCGTTTTTCTTGCCTTATGTATACTTTTACTTTTAACGGTATTTTCAATCACAACTATTCTACGTATCAGTTCAGTTATTCACATGATTTTGTCCCCTAAGATAATTTAATCTCCAAGACCTAGAATTCATTAGCTCACCACACTCGTCATTCTTTATGGAGTTAATTATCTGATCCCATTATTGATTATACTTTATACTAAGAAGAGAAAGCCTATAAACACTCTTATAACAAAATTACTAGTTGCGTATCGAATAAATATTGTCGAAAGTGTGTCTCTAAATGTGAATATAACGTATGAAATATCTTGTAACATCGAACTCCAATTTAAAGTCAATTAATTAACATAAAAAAATATAAAACTCATTCTTGTTAACTAGTGACTCTCTATATTATTGCTAGATAATTAATAAACCCTTCTTTATAAATCTTCCGTAATCTAGTAATGATTAGTTACAATGACATGATATTGAACAATTTCTGTTCAAGATTATTTCGACCTCAATCAATTACGGGATTACTCGCATTAACAAGAGAAAATGCATGTAAGCAACAGCCAGCAGTAGTTACTTACATACACGAATAAGTATTCCTAGACACGAATCGCAAAGTCACGGGCATCATGAAGCCATTCATCTTTCGCGTTGATTGTTAGTGATTCCGGACGCGTCGACTACAAGGTAATTACGTGATCCAGAAAGTGTAGTGTCTTTTTCCTCGGGAGGTGCCGTTTGTCTACCTCGGTGGATGGGGAGATACGGCGCAGACCTACCGTCAGCGAGCGGAGTTTTTCTCAACCAGGTATCTCCCACCAGACAGGCACCGTCCCAGCCGGGACAAGCCCTAAGCTCCCGACCGGCCTCCCGGCATGTGAGCTTGTGTAGTGCGTGTTAGTGTATGTGTGTGTAAGGGGTGTGAATAGGGCAAGAAAGAGGAAGGAAAGATAGCGCGTGGTCTGTGGCCCGTTTGTTAGGGTAGTGCTCCGGCATTCGCCTGGTGTTTATCGGAGAAACCACGAAAAACTTCCGATTAGAGCAGCCGGCCGCTAGAATTCTCATCCAGACAGGGACTGAACTCGACCTAGCTGTCAAGCTAGTGGTTCCGCTACTGATCCGCTAGTCACCGTTGGGACTGGAACCTAGGACCTCCCGGTCAGAGCCCCTGCAGTGACATCAGTTGATGCCCTGAGCCACCTCTCCTGGTCATCTCCTCGCTCGCTACGCGAGGAAGAGGTGAGTGACTAGGCCGTGGCCCCCCTCAGCGCATGCGCGTCGGCCGGCCGGAGAGCAGGTTTAGGTCTGGGCCGCGCGTCACGCAGCCAGGTACGGGTCGGGGAGGGGGGGGCAGCGAGGACCGACGCCGCACGACCACTCGAACCACGGAGACCACCGGAGACCCAGGTGGCGGCGCGGCGCCTCTCTCCTGCGGAGGGTCGGGGTTCGGGGCACGTGGGTCGGGGCAGTGAGGAGATGGAAAAGCAGACACACCAGGTGGCAGTTCGTTGTACTAAATTCAGACGAATTAGTTGTATTCGACAGTTTGCAAGGGGAGATCACAAAGCTCGCGAAAAATAAATACTGGAAACAATATAATATTTTTAAAAACTATATTAGGTGTGAGTAGCTTGGTACAAGCAAACATTCTGCCCTTAGTTAGTTCTTGTTTTAAAAGTGAAAATAGCTTCGCCCTGGTTCCTAAACTTGTTTGTCCAGTACCTGAACTGCGCGTTATAGGATTGTTGCCTGGTTTTGTTCGTAAGTCTATATATGAATATTGCTAATTGGCAAGATTAAATTTGATAGAAAAACAAATGGCTACATTAATTATATCGTGGATGTATTATTTCTTTCTGTATTCCTTCATTTTAATTTTACGTAATTTTACGGTCATTTCTTATTAAAATCGCTCTGTAACCGAGCGCTGTGCAGGATACCCAACGAACTACATTTTCAACCATATTTAGCGATTGCAATGGTCCACTGGGTGATTAGTGTCAGAAGAGGGGGGGGGTACAAAGGCGTAACCCTCTCTACGCATACGTTCGGGGATCCAGTGTGTTTATCAAGCGCTCCACCGTCAATGTCGAGGTCCTCGTGGCAGAGGGAGGCGGCGCGGGCAATGGCGGCGGCGGCGGGTCCCCTGTTGGTCTCTGGCTTCTTCGGGGCAGTGGCCCGAAACTCGTGCAAAGAGGAGGGATTCGTCCCGGCGCATTGATTCGACTCCGCTACTAGCCTGGATAAGTAGAAGCACTGAGCTGGCAGGGCGGCCCCACCCAAGCTTCGAATGGGGAGGTTGCCATGGGGTCAAACTGCGTTCTGGTGGGATTCAGATACCAGCCTGTCAGCGTACATATGCCCCGGCGGGGGGTGAGCTGTGATGACCACCTTGGTGTAAACGCCTCCTGGTAGAACAAACAATTGTGTGAAATCTTAGACCTCAGAGAGTCCATACCTGCCAGAGTCGTTTTCCCGCTTCTCGCCATCTCCACCACTTCCATTCCTCCCCGCGAGTCTTCCTTCCGACGCGCATCTCAACTGCTCCCGCTTCCCTTGACGCGACACGGTGCATACCCTGCATCCTCGTCCAAGCGCCCTCGCCTTCGCCTCCCGAAAGAGCGCCGCACCGCCTCGATCGCCATCATCGCAGATCTCGATCTCATAAAGGATTCGCGTTGTGCATCGCGATTTGGCGCGTCCCCGTGAATACACTCAAGGTCTTCACATTATGCAGAAGGGGAAGACTAACCAAGCCCGATTTTTTGGGTGTAAATTGGAATGACGATTAAATGTAGACACTGAAGTGGGTGCAAAAAATAGTTTTCGAGTGATTACTGCTAAACTTCTTTTGCGCGGAGAAAAATGCTCGAAAAGCTTTTCATGAAGTTTATTTTAATGAAATGGTCAAAGCATGAGGTAAAAGTGAAGTTTAAGTAATTACTATGTGATGTGTAAAAAGCACGACTTACCCTGAAATTAAAAATATAATATTTTTCTACGTCGCTTCGATATGTTTTATACGTATTCTTAAGCTTTAAAAAAACTCAGAAGAATATAATAACTGTGGTCTTACGTAAAACACGATCATTTAGAACTGAAATGTTTTTCCAACTTTTCTTTCAAGCCATCCATCTTCCCGGTACTCTTACAACGTCAATCTCGTGACAATCCAATTTACGAACTTTCTGTGTACTAAAAGATCAATCAACATCAATTTGCGCTGATGGTTGGTCGATAACTATGCAATATCAGAGATTATTAAAGTCCAGTCAATAGTATGTGTAGTCTCGTGAAATGTATTGCAACTATTTATGTTTTAGTAAAATTGTTGCCTATCTGTCTACATGTTTTCAGACGTTTCAATCCGCGAAAGGAGATATCTTTTACGTAAAATAGATCTTAGGAGTTAGTGCATAGCATTCTAATAGCTATGATCAAAACAGCAGACAATGACCTCGTTGCTGTACCATACGACTCACCAAATATTTTTTTAGGAATGAAAATGTGAAGGAAACACAACCACATAGAAACACGTGAAATTCGAAATCAGCCGCAAACCATTCAATAAAAATGTAGCGTTCATAACAGCACATTCCATAATGTCAGAAAAAAATGTTTCTCCTTGTAATGTATTCAAAATAAATTATCGTTAAAACTATTAAAACTAGTTTTGTCGAGCGACATTCTACACACGTCTAATTCTCTATTTCTAGCCTCCCCCAGAAAATTTATGTTATTTTCGTTAACTCACTCCAATACAATTCACGTAGTGAGATCAAATTAGGTGGCACAATTAATGTCACTGCAGTGTCTACGACCGGAAGGATTTTGGGTTCCAGTCCCGGCTGGCAATACTTTCGACACTAGACACATAGGGCGGTTCCCCGCTGTTGGGTAATACCTGCTTCGGGAAAAAACCGCAAGCAAACGAACATGTCGGAACCGCATCTCGCCATCCATCGGGGAAAATTGCCTCACCCCGCGATAAAACATGCACTACTTACGGGACTAATGACCTAACGTGTTAAAGCGCCCGTAATTACTCATCAGTCAACTCACGTAGTGACAAAAAGGAAATGATATCAACCCCAGACATGCGATTGAGCGCATAAGGAGCGGCTGCAGCTTTAGCGACGGGTTGACAAGCGACACAGACGCCATGCTGCACACGAATGACTCCCTAGCGGCGAGTGACATTTTCCCGAGCAGAGGTCACACGAACGCTTGTACACAGGTCACTGGCTTTCTAGACTTCACCTCGGGAGATCAGACGTTTTACAATGCGCAGGGTAATTAGCGTAAAAGGCTGAAGAAGCTAAACTTGTTCTCGTCTTAGTGCGCCAGGCGAGTCTCTCCCCATTGGCGCTTTGCTGCGGTGCAACGGAAATTACTATTGTTTACTAGGCTGTTCGGATGACGCCGCGTCCATGACGAAGGAGCCGACGTTTCGGTCGCCAATTTGCGATCTTCCTCAGGGCGTAATGCGGGACTAATGACCTACGTAATGCCTACAGGCATTACGCCCTGCGGAAGGTCGCAGAATGGCGACCGAAACGTCGGCGCCTTCGCCATGGACGCGGCGTCACCCGGACAGCCTAGTAAATACTGATTCCGGCCGCGGAAGCCTACGCTCTCGTGGAAATTACTATGTTGGTAGCGCGAGCTGCTGCTTGTAAGGAAAGAAAACGTGAATTGACTTCTGCTACTACCATAATAGTTGCTGGAAGTGTTGTCCCCTTCACCAGTTGCCCAGTGATCTGGATGCTACCAACACAAATACAATTTTTAATACGAGGCTGAGTGCGGAGAGATTTTTCTGGCGCACTGTACATTCATACATACGCCTCTTGTGCGGCAATTCAGATAGTCTTGTGTTGGTGAAAACAAATAGTCGTAATATATTTTTAGATTATTTTATGTAGTTCAAACAGAGCTAAATATGACGTGAACTTTACTTCTCTGCCGTTAGAATCTCTTCTCAAATCTTGGGTGATACAAAGTACTGTCTGCCAATTTTCACGCGAATTTGCACAACTTTTTAACAGTCAAGTACACGGAAACAGCTGGTCGTCTTTTTCTACTTCACTTTCGTGGATTAGGCTTGCAGTAAACAGTTCCTTAAAAACTTCATTTCTTCGGCTGGAACGGCAGTTTGCAAGTCAAAGGTAATGCCACTTCGTAAATTTAATGGAATTTCTGACTCTCATGCTCATTGTGAAAAAGGTATCCTTTTAGACATCTCCACATGCCCTGGAAGTTGGTAACATTTATTCCGACTCACACTTTACAGCTAGTGTTGCAGCCCCATTTTTAAATCGAAAGACACGACATTAGCAGGTATAAATTGCGATGATCAAATCAACCAACCAGCAACTTGCATTCTTTTTACACACTACAAACTAATTACGTTTTTAAGATTGTAAATTTTATGAAACATTTGAAAAGTTTGTAAGATTCTGATTTAGAATCGTGAAAATCTAAAAAAAGGTTAAATCACATCTCATTCAGTATATTTCAGAGTGGTAATAGGTTATGCAATTAGTTTATAAAGTTAAGCTTTACTGCACGAGTACATGTTTTGAAAACGAGTGACGTTCGGAGCGAGATGTCCAATTACAAATATATAACGAACCAAAAAAATCAAAATTATTTAGTATCATATAATACTCTCTCTTTCATTAGAGACTTCAATTTATGAACAGAAGCGACAAATGAAGACTGGCATTATTGGCTATTTTACTCATACGCCCCAGAGGTGCATTTTGATAAGCATTTGTTGTACAAAAAGGAATATAAAATACAGCTTGGTTTAAATTGCAAAGTTTGGATACATGACAATAAATACGGTTATTAATATAAATACGGTCCAAATTATACAAATAATCGACATAAATTTTATGAGAATTGAATGAACTAAATCCAGAATAATTGCAATTTCATTATAAGCATGTAAGACATACGGTGATGAATTTCATTTTATAAGAAACTAATTTTGGAAAGAATTTTCTTGTGACATCTCGGGTATTTGACATCTGTGTGAGAAAACTGTGGTCGGCTGTTCCGTTCACTGCTACCTCCCCACGATTCTCTTGCTGCGATTAGCTGGATGTGTGATGACGCAATCATCGGTACCACAAAATGTAATACGTCATCATTTGGCCGTAAAGTGCCCTTTTATGAACGATTTCTTGCAGCAGAAAAGTCGTTTATAATGCTGCACACAAAAAAAAATTAGAATTCGTTCCTTGTGCAGGCAAAACTTTCAGCCTTTTTTCTCAGCCTCTTCCCCCGATTCTTCCGCACGCGGCGCCGCCTGCAGAAGCGCCTGGCTTCTTCCCGAGGATCGGCCGCCCCGCTACGTGCTGGGAATTTTCCGACGAGAAATAAATCACGCGCGGTTCGTCACGCCGCGCTCGCCCCGCCTCACTCCACTCCACACCACGCCATGCCAAGCCGTCGCGAGCCGCACGCGCGGCCCCGAACCCCGGCCTCCACCGCCCGCGCGAGCATCGGGAGGTCTCGTCAGGGCCTTTCGAAGGCTGGGAACCAGGCTGCTCCAAGTCCAGGTTGGTTGGTTGGTTGGTTGTTAGTGATTGGGGGCACGCCAGATAAAGAGGTAATTAGTCCTATAAGTGTAGTGCATGGTTTTCTAGGGAGGTGGCGGTGATCTTCCACCGCTGGATGGGGAGACCCAGCGGCGACCTACCTCACCTAGCTGTGTTTTGCCCAACCAGGTATCTCCCAACAGCGGGGCACCGCCCCAGTCGGGACAAACTCTAAGCTCCCGACTGGTCTGTGTGGTAGTGTAGTGCATGTTAGTGTAAGTGTGTGTAAGGGGTGAGGACAGGGAAAGAAAGAGGAAGGAATAATCGGGCGAGGTCTGTGGCCCGTTTGTTAGGGACCTGCTCCGGTATTCGACCGGTGTTGATGGTATAAACTACGGAAAACTACCGCTCCGAGCAGCTGGCCGACAGAATTCTCCTCCTGACAGCGACAGAATTCGACCTCGCTATTTAGTATCTAGTATCCTGCCAACTGGGGAGTGGTAGCATAGTCAGAGGCGGTGCAGTGTCATCAGTGGATGCCCTGAGCCACCTCTCCCGGCCGGAGAGTTCTAATCTCAGGGAACAAAGCGGAGCGGAGCGAGGCGCTGCTTTGAGACGGCGGCTGCGCGGGGGCGCCACGGGCGGGAGCGCGGGTGCAAAGCAGGCTGCAGCTGCTTGCAAACAAAAGCTGCCCAGAGAAAGCGGAGATCTTGATAACAATTAACAAACGAGTGGTGCTATCACAGCAACACTTTCGCGTGTAATTTATAATGGCTAGGAATGTAATATTGCACATTCCATCCTGCAACACCTGAAAATACCAATATTTTTACTTTGACATGAGGAAAACCGTCAAAATTTGACTGATGATTTAAACCCACTGATTTTCATACTTTTATATTTCATTTAATTCTTACAAGAAGTTTAAAAAATTGCAGCCTTCTTTGAGAAGTTTTGAAAATATTCTAGGGGCTTCATTAAAGTTTTCTCAAAATTCACAGAATGTTTTTCAACTATTTACAGAATGTTACTCACTTTGTAAAATCGTATAAATAGATTAGGAACTAGTGTTTTTCACAGACGGACGGACACACAGATGGAAGTTTTAAAAAAAGCACGTTTTATAATCAGTGAATTCCAAAACATAAATTTCTGTAAAACGTAAATCTATTTTCGTCAGTATTAAATACATTTTTCTATACCACATATTAACTCCGTATACAAGTACGCATACAAGAAAGTAAAAACACAACTTTTCAGCAGATAGCTAAAATGCCTTCATAAATGAAAAAACAACAACTTAGTGTTAACATATGAGTAGCATTTACAGGAATGTGCGCGGGCGAACCCCCCAAAGACACACAATCGAGTATTCGCAACGCAGGTTTTAACATCTTCAAAGGCCGCACGTAATATGCATTGGAG